ATTGAAAATAGTTCGCGCGAAAAGGAAAATGGCATATGGATGTGGGACAGGAACACAGTAATGTTGTCCAGAGATAGAAAAGGTGACCTTTATCATGGTACAGTGAAAGCACCGGTCACCTAGTTCTAATCGTGTTTTATTTCATTAAGAGGATCTGTAAATGAGTGCGACCTGTTCTGGCCCGATGTTCGAAAACCCATTTCCAACTCGGCTCAGTTTACCCTTTTTGGTACAAAGAATCCGCTTTATTTGTCGGCAATGTACATTTATAAACAAAGTATACAATACAACAATATAAACAATAAGTGGTATGATACACATTACGATGAGCTTTCTGGAGTTCCTGGTCGAGTGGAGTTTTTCGAGGAATGCGCCGCCGAACTTCGCCCGGATGATGGCACATTTGACTCTCGCCTAGACGATGATGGTGCCCCTGAACCTCTTCGAGACGGTGGCAACGCAGAACCTGGTCGATGTTCTGGCACACCCGGTCGGTGCGCTCGTTGCCGGAACTTTTTCCACTGCTAAAATGGCACAGTTATGACTTTCCCTGCTACGTAAGTCTCTACCAACTTTCTGATATTCTTCGTATCTTCGTTTAGCCATTTCGCTGTATTCCCGTCTTTTCTGTGCAGCAATTTCTTCTGCAGTAAGTTGTCGGGCTAAAAAACTTCGTAATCAAATCAACTGCAAATTACGATTACATTACAGAAATCCAATCCAAAAAAACTTACGTTTTGGAGAGGGTTCCTGAAAATCATAGCTTAGCTATTGACAATGTCACTTCAATTGGTGCTGCAAGCTGACAACGTACCGGAGTTGGCTCCGGTTCTGGCTCAGGTTCCGGTTCCGGCAGTGGTTCAGGTTCTGGCTCTGGTTCCGGCTCTGGTTCGGGTTCTGGCTCTGGTGTCGGTTCACGTGGAGGTTCAGGAGTAGGCACTGGACTTGGTTCAGGCGATATTTCAGGTTCAGGTGAGGGTTCCTTCACTGGTTCTAAACAAGTATGTGATGCGGCTTAAACCCCACTTAATCACTTCTCTGCTTTCTAAGCAGTTCATCTGGTGCGAATACCTGGTGAAGGAGTGGGTGAAGGTGATGGGGAAGGTGGAGGTGTGGGTGAAGGGGTCGGCTCTTTAGGCTCAGGCTCAGGTTCCGGCTCGGGCTCGGGCTCAGGCTCCGGTTCTGGTTCGGGCGTGGGTGTACGCGGGGGTGGTGACGATGGGAGAGTCGGTGACGGCGATGGTGTCGGATCGCTCTTCCACACTTCTAAAATCACACTGTGCCACCTACGAAAACACTGCAAATCGTGGAAAGATTTCTGAGAACGAATTTTAAAAGCCTGAGTTCCTTAGGTTTTCTAATACAAGATGAAATTCTTATAATATGCTCAGCCGACTGCAAGAGTCACAAAAGTTCAATGATTGAGATCATTTTGCACTCCACAGCTCAAACACAGCAAACAAAACGGACCTTGTGAGGGCTCGTCCATGAATGCAGAATCGATGTTATCTGGCTCGAAGGGAGGCGGCTGTAAAGCATGATTTACTCGTGAAAAATGTTCCATTTTAACAATTTCCTATCAAACTGGAGCGTAAGAGTGGCATAGTGGTATGGGACGCCGCTAAACAGATTGGACCAAGGCTCAATCCCCGTTCCTGGGCCAACCTAGGCCCTCTACCATCCAGGACCGGTAAATTGGTATCAAATAATCATGGATGATAAAAGCGTTGACTCGATAATGCAGGGCCCTGGAAGTTATTGTAAAAAACCTGTATCGCCTTTTCGATTACGAATTAGAATGCGTACGCAGCATGCCCGCAGAGGGTACAGGAAATTCCAAATCTCTTATTCAGCTGACTTTTATGAAATTATGAAACCATCCACCAAAAGCAGTTTTATGATTGTAAGGGAACAATTTTTGAAAAATGATTTTCAAGATAATTGAATCATTTGTGGTAACTTCTTCTAATTGTTACAAGAAGCGTTTCAACCTTTGATTTACTCCGAATGCCAAAGATATCTTGATAATCAGCGCATCACCTCCTACACAATCGTATGTCCATTTTTTGGGATCCCATATGCGTAAGGCTTTACTGGTTCAGAAACACTTCAGCGCTCCCAAAATTCTTGAAAAAGTCTATATGATACTAGCTGTCGCGTACAACTCCCGTTTTGGAAGTACATTGATTTTTCGTGGTCCTAAACCGACATAATTTTTGTAACCCGCCCTCGAATGCAAACATGCGCGCCTACCGCCCTCCCCGTCTCTTGCCAGCGCATCGCTGTTTTTGGGTGAATGAATTCATGTATGACAATTAAATCGTGTCCCAAGCTTGAAAATTATTTGTGAACATTATTGTAGCACCCTAGGAACGTAAATTACACTTTTCAGTCGTTCTCAGCTCAATACTTAACAATTTCTTTGCAATGTTCAATAGCGCTGAAATCGGAGGATGCTTGCATGTGGCTTTAGTGCTATTTAACGATTGCTTAATTTGTATTGAAATTAAGATTAGAATATCAATTTTCTTCGAAATCACTTACCCGTAACGTCTCTATTTCGCCTTCTTCTACTTTTATGGCTTGGTCAACAAAATGATCCAAATCGAGGT